TAACTCAGGTGCAGCCCTGAAATAACTCTGATTAGGCTAAAGAGATCTGGAAATTAAAGCTGACTGACAACAGATGATGAGGCTGTTGCTCCGTATGCGGAACTTATCTCTAGACAAAGAAGCTGCACCCACACACAATGCATGACGCACAAACACATGCTGCACTGCAGGTTTCTGGGAATGTTGTTTTTTAGTTTTTTTTTATTCTGGATCAAAGAGTTAAAGTTTAACATTCATGGAGCACTGGAAGCATTTAAAAATACCTAATCCCTCAGGGTTCCACATCATAAAAACAAAGCCACTTTATTTCACTTCACAAATGTGTGCAACAATAATTTTTACTCTTTTTAAATGTTGCAGATCCCCTTTACTCTGTTATTAGATGTAGCCTTAAGTCTGCAGAATCAGTTCTAGATGCACAGGATGCTATTAAATTTTACTTAGTTATACTATTAAATCTGATCACATTTAATCGCATTATGTAATAAATTATTTGGAGGATGGAATGTACCCATTTATAGTTCTTTACTGCTTGCACAGAGTCTTTAGCTAAATGTTGCAGTTAGCGTAGCTTTGATGGCTGATTCTTTGCCCTGCTTCCGATGACCTTTGGAGCAACACCAGCGCCGTCGCCTTCTTTCTGAGAACAAGTCAAAGTCTTTCCTGGTCCAACCGGTCCAGCAGGGCTGGTTAATATGGACTTAAAATATTATCATTGTATTTTATGGTACAGTCAGACAGTAATAAAACTAACAATAAAAAGAGAAAATGTTAATTATGGCTTCTTAAAATAGGAATCTTCAGGATAACAGCTACATAAAGAAGTCCTTTTTATTTATCTGATCTTTCTAAACAAACATATTTTTCTAGTTTGTCAATCAGAGATTGACCAGTACAGTTTTTTGTTTTTTTTTACGCTGATGCCGATGTCCATATGTGCTGCTGATATTGCTAATGTCGCTTTTTCTTCCTCTGTTTGCATTTGGAAAAATGACACAATAAGCGTTACAGAGGTCTCGGTTTAAACATTAAAGAAGCATTTATTTACCAAGCAAAATAAATATTAACGATAGATAGCAAATGAAGGGAAGAATGCACGTATCTACAGATAAAAGTAAAACCTTAAAGTCAACCCAAAACACAGCTGATGTATCAGTATATTTCTATTGTTGATTCCCCAATAGAATAAAATAAAAAAAAAAATAGAAAAGGCAAATTCTGACACTTCACCCCTTTTTATGTAGTTCATTAAGTCTAATAGTTGCTACCAGCGGTTCTGCAACCTTGGGAATCTGTAAAATTCAAAGAGCTGTTTTGCCCTGAGTCCTGCTAAGTAAGTTGATTGCAGCTGCAAATGTTACATGACTTTTTGATAAAAGATAATTTATTGTTAAATATTTACTTTAGGA